GTCTACCATCAACACCTGCAAAAATTCCAGGACAGATCATAACTCTAAAAACCTTGAAATCCCTGCAGTGATTTTCAGTAGTCAGCCAGGTAAAGGAAAAACAAAACTTAAGCAGTCAAATTTATACTTCATTTTTGGCTGGGGAAATGGAGATGAGGGCCCCTATAGTTGGCAATGAGTAAAATCTGCTGGGACTCTTTTGCATGGGGTATGTTCCTTAACAAACCATAGCAGTGCTGCAGACAAATTGAAATGAAGTATCATCTAAGGCCCTTGAGGCCTGTTCTGTTCAACTTTTTTGTATTAAATACTTGAATGAAGAAGCGGAAAGAATGCTTATCATTTTTATAAAGACACAAAATTGGATAGGATACCTAATACCTGAGAAGGCAAAAATTCAAAATGCTATTGATATGCTAGGAAAAAAAATGGGATGAAAGTAATAGAATGAAGTATAACTGAAATAATGCAAATATATACATTTAGGAAACAATAGTCAAATTCATAGGTATAAAACAAGAGATAACTATCTTGGCTGTAGTATTTGGGAAGATCTTGGAATTGTAGTTGATTACAACATGAATCAGTGTGCGGTGGCCACAGAAAAGGCAAAGAGAACCTTAAATCATTGGAAGTCATATTTTCACTTACCTTTGCAATGGTCAGATCCAATCTTGAGTATTCCATCTCTTCCTGTGCAAATACTTTAACAGAGATTCTGACAGGCTGGAACAGACTGAGTGAAGAGCCAACAAGGATGACCAGAGAACAAGCTTGAAGGAATTGGAAATGTTTTATCTCAAGAAGAGAAAACTGAATGGAAATATGATAACATTTGTCAAATACCTGGAAAAAAAGTTACATAGGAAAAGATAAAAATCTGTGTTATTACCCCAGAATACAGAATACAAGGTAATGGTTTTAAGTTACAGGAAGGTAGATTCCAGATGAACCTAACGGTAAAAGATGTTTGACAATAGAACTATAGGGGCCCCCTTTCATAGGCAGAGGCTAGAGAGCCATCAGACATTTTAAAAACGGATTCTTCTAGAGAGCTGGGGATTGAACTTGGTAGCCACATTGGCTCCTTTCAACTCTATTATTCAAACTCTTTAGCATAGACCAGGGGTAGGCAAGCTTGGTTCTTTTATGACTTGTGGACTTCAACTCCCAGAATTCCTGAGCCAGCCATGCTTCAACTCAATTCTGGGACTTGAAGTCCACGAGTCATAAAAGAGCCAAGCTTGCCTACCCCTGGCATAGACGATCCAGGCAAGTTGCACAACTTTTCTCCAGTGATCCTTTAGTAGACATGAAAAGCTAAGCATATACAGTTAATATAAAGAAAGTAGTATCTTTGAGCTCCTATCTTCCAAGTCCATGGAAAACGGACAAACTCAGTTCTAGAACAATACCTGAGATACTTTATTAATTATCAACAAGATAACTGGACCGACCTCTTGCCTTTTACAGAGGTTGCTTATAACAATGTTGTACACACTAGCACTGGCTTCACCTCTTTCAGAGTGGCCACCGGGCAAGACTTTAATCCAATGCCCGAGCTACCAGACAACGAGCCCACCATTCTCTCGAAGGAATGGATTTACCAGTTGAAAAATACAGTCACTCACAAAGCCTTAGATGAAGCCAGAGCAGCCTACAAGTCAGAGGCAGTTTTCTTAGCAGAAGCACAGAATTACAGTAGTTGGTTTCCTAGAAGTCAAAGTTCTAGTAATTAAAAGATTGGCTGTATCTTCTCTTTCCACTCTCCTCCCCCTCCCCCCTCTTCCTCCTCCCTTCCCCCTCCTCTCTCCCTGTCACACAGACAGAATCCCATCAAGTTCCTGAAGAACCATGTTCTAATGGGCAGAAATCCTCAAATATAATAGAAATGGGAACTTCTCAAAAACAAGATGGTGCAAATGCACCTGAAACCATTCCAAAGGGATTAAAATTATTACGTAGGGAAAAGTTTTCATTTTACTAAGTACTATTTTCTTAGTTTTCTGGGAGAATTCTGCAAGATTCTCTTCAAACAAGTGTGAAGATACTAAACAAAGAAACACCCACCAGAAAATATAGCTTTCAGGTTATTTTTCATTGTGAATCTCCTAATTGAGTCTTGAAGCTAAGAAACAAAACTCCATAACTATATATGTTACAAAAAAGTCATCAAGAAGGAAATCAGCATAGAACTCATCTGAATGGCTAGAGATTGTCACTCAAAGGGGAAAAATAAGTTTTTGATACATTATCAAAATGTGCAATCCAGAACATGTGTAATCAATTCAAACTCTTCTGTGTCACATGGACAAAGAAAAGAGCAGCACAGGGCATTACAACATGGTAGTAAAGGCCCCCTGGTATTTTTGGTATAACATTGTATGAAGGTACAGTGTTCCAGTTGTACCTTCAATTAAATATTGAATTTAATCTCCAGTTAAATATTAGTTAATTCGATGTCTTGAAGAAGTGGGCAATTGGCTCAGATTGTGCTGTAACTCAATTTCTAGGAGCCGCTGGATATGACTTTTGGCTGGGACGAGCAAAGGCTATATAAAATATTGAGGGACTTGAAATAATTTATTACTTTAGGGACTTCTGCTAGGTAGATTGAAAGGCAACATTTAAAACAAAGTGCAGCAGCCCAATTGGAAGATAAATGAATGTCAGTCAATAATTAAATACTATCTTGCTCTTGTTTCTGCTCTTAATTATTCCAGAGTCTTGCCTAAGAGTCCCATTAAAACACATATAGGAATACCAATTATAGCACTAAGAAACCTTGATTGTTCAGATTCAAGCAATCTAAAGTTAAAAGTATGAGTCAAGGAGCCTGAAGTAATAGTTTTGAGGCCTTTGCCTGGAAGAGTTTTATAGCTACGGACAAATAACTAAGGAATAATGAAATCAATAAAATTGCTAAATTAATGCTTTGACCAAGTTGGGTTCATAATGCCCTTGTTCCATAAAATCCCAAGATACTTCAATATTTTAATTAGTCATATCCTGTGACCATTAACGATTCAGCTAAAGTTTTTAGGTTGGTTTGGGAAAAAAAGTTCTGTTTGGGGGAGTTATTAATCAGATACTTCTCATGAAAGTATTAGATCAAGACAATGATTATTCTCTAGTCGTACATGTATTAAAGGTAGAATGACAGTGACATCTGCATAGGGCAGTCTTGGGAAATGTCTGTTGTTCAGTTTGGAAGCAAAAAGTAAATAGATACATTAACCACTTTATTAGGAAACCAGTTGATGTTAGCAACTGTGGTGGAATGAGATGCCTCCCAAAATTGAGGCAGATGGCAAAGCCTCAACAAGCTTTAATTCTTTAGATTGCAAAAATTTCATCTGTGTAGTAAATTTTGGAATACAGGGAAAAAACCTGCAGACTTGGCTGGACAATTACAGCGAGTAGTACAATTAAATTGTTTATCCAATAATTGAGGATTAGCATTACAGGTTGAAGGGCAATAAGCA